TTTCCTTCCTTTCTTATGTGCTTACTTATGACTGTAGTTCTCCTTGTCTCCTTACCTTTGTTGTCATGCCACACTCTGACTTTTGACAGTTCGCCCAGACTGAGCATGTCAGGAAATCTGAACACGTCCTTCATTTTTCGCTCAAACTTGTTTCTGTTGGTGCTCTCTTTCAGAGGCAGCGTCCCTGTGTCTCCATACTCCCCAAACACAATCAGAAACACGTTGGCATCAGTGCCAGCACCTAGAATATTGCAAAGATCAAAGAACAGAACTCCAATAAACTTTAACTTATGAGAAAATCTATTAGTAGTTGTAAACATGCTTGTTAAAGTTAAGCACTCAGTGTCTTATTTAACACTTAAAAATATGTAAAATACTCATAGAAGTTCAACAAACGTAAAATTTGGGGAAGAAATTTGTGCAGTTAAAGAGGGCTCTGGGATGATTAGAAAAAAAACCCAACTTTGAATATTGATATTTATTTATTTATTTTTTAAACTTTATTCCAAGCAGACAAATTAAGTTAAAATTGACTGATACAGTTTCTTTAACCTGGTCAACTTTCTAAATATATGTGGAAACATTCTGTGACCCACCTGCAACGTCACTAGTCTGGACTTGGATGATGTAAGTTGTTTTTTCTACCATCTCCTCGTCATCCACCATAGCCGCCAGCTCACACACCTTTGTCCTCTTGGGCCCTTTGGTCTTGGACAGCCAGTTCTCGTAGGTGAACAGGTACTCTTCCTCTGTGGTCAGGTTTCTCATCAGGATCTAACATTTTAAATCAGACGATGACCTCACAATTCGCATTAAACAAATGTCCACATGTGAAATCTACTATTTAGCTGCAGCAGAGGAGGAGGAAATTGACTGTGATTTTGGAATATAAATGCATTAATGTATATTTGTGGCTTGAAAAATGTTAAACAATCCACAAATACACTAAAGTTAACCTAGCATTCATCTGTTTCCACTGGAAAATAATCTGATTAATTAACGGTATTTGCGAAGGCTGAAAAAAGAAATTGCTTCATTATTAAATTAGCAAATTAAAAGATTGTGGTTTAAAAATCACAAGAGTTATTGTTTTAATTACAGCTTAGAGACAGCGCCATCCACTGCAATGATATACCAAACACGCAAGTGAAATTTACTAACTTGTGAAAACTGTTCAGTGTTCCACCTCATTTCATTACCTGAATAGGAACATTTATATAATTTCACAAATACTGTACAATCATTACTTACTTCATTAGGTACATCTTTTCAACCGGTTAATAGTGCAAATATTTAATTAGTAAGTCAGACGGCTGCAACTCAATGCCTTTAAGTGTGTAGACATAGTCCAGATGACCTCCTAAAGTTAAAACTGAACATCAAAATGTGGAAGAATGGTTGTTGGTGCCAGATGGGCTGGTCTGAGTATTTCAGAAACTGTTGATTTTTCCACATAACCATCTTTAGGGTTTATAGTAGTGATGTGCGATACCACTGATTTCCTTTCCGATCCGATACCAAGTAATATTCAGGGTGGTATCGACGATACTGATCCGATACCGATAGTTTGATCTCAAGTTATAGCATCATAATGATTACAGGACATCAGATTTCTTGTTCTTATCACTTAATAATG